AGTGCAGTTACAAGTAATCTAAAAGAGATATAAATCTTAAGAACAATTACTGAAGCTTTGTTTAATTACCCTAGACAAAGCAGCAGTGCTCCATATCAACCTATGCGTTCAAGATTATCAATTCAAGGTCATCTAAAATTCAGCTTAAATTTTTTGTTTCATGCCTGTAGTTTATACAGTACTAGAATCTTAGGGTATTTCCCAGGTGCCAAGCATACCTCTTGATCTGCTATAATAGATTCTTCAGAATCAGAGGATAATGATAAGTCTTGCTCCATAGCTATGGGTGGCATCTCAGACTGTTTTTTTAGATGTTTGGATTTTGCCTCCACCAAGCTGTATCAAAACCAAGAAAATAATCAGACAATACACTGCATTTTTAAGACCATGGAATAAATTCAGGATTGGACTACTAACTTCATCCTTCCCTCAGCAGGGCACATACAATGTTAATACATGAAGTTTTCCCCATGCATATTTAAACTCTACTAAATTAGGAGCTGTTATGCATCAGTGTTTAAAATAACTTTAAACATAAAAACAAGACTGATGTCAGTTTCAATTTAACCTGGAAAGTCTTTTTGAAATACAATTCTGTGTATGGCTTGCTGCCACATGTGAGATCAGGGTTCTTTTAAAATAAGGATTCTAAACTTTTTGACATAATTATGCTTTATCATATAGATCCCTCAGCTAATCTAAAACTTGATTTTAATAATAGTTTAAGTTTTGAAAGTACTAAAGCATTAAACTATTATGAATTGCTTTTATATTTGTTTTAAACAAGCTAATGTATAAAGTGAGATTCCGCCCCCCCATGGAAGTTACTACTTTCAACTTTATCTCAAATGACTCTGCAAAGATATTCCATGTAATATCGATATTTTGTAATTTCCATCTTTTTTCTTCTAAAACAAAATGATAAGCTACGACCTATTGAAAATGTCTAATCACCCTCCTTCCCAATTATTCTTAGTTTTGCATTAAACCGGCCTGAAATTCCTTCTACCTTCCGTTCCTCGGAATCCACTCTAATGGGCCATGAAACCCTATCCGCCGAAGTAATTCGGTGCGGTCCCACTTTTAGATTAGCTATGGTCTATGGTTTTATGTCTGTGAGCTTTAGATATTTCTTTTTAAATCTCTAAATGCATACTACTCACTGTTATCACCTTGTCCCCGTTTAATCAAACCTACCCCTAGAGCCCCTTCAGCCATCCACCTTCTCACACACCACGAGGAATCGTAAAAGGCGACTTCCCGTTTCCGTGGCTCTCTTATACATTTCCGGTTCCGCTCCGCCAAATTGTTAGCCTTGGCCTCGGGGACGCTGTCTCCATGGCAACCGTTCTGTCCCTCGTACTGTAGTGGCTCTTCTCTTTACTCTTTAGTGAGTAGAGCTGAGACCAAGACTGCGGTCCTGAGGGAAAAATCTGAGCAGTTGGTAGGAATTTTTGAAAACGGGTCGGGGAGACCAGCGAACGGAAGGAGCTAGACTGCCAAGAGTAACAGAAGCCGGGTTGGGCTGAAGAGCCCGATCCCAGGAAGGTTGGCTGTGGAGGGAAGGAACAGGGAGACGTGGGAGCTTCTCACCGCCGCCTAATCATCCTCTGCTGTTTGTGTCTCCTCTTTCAAGCACAGCTTTGTGAATTCAATCGCGATGTCAGTGATTGTAGCTCAGGCTCTCCACATCTTTGGCTTCCAGTCCCGAGTAGCAAATAATATTTGTTTCTTTGATGAACAGATAATAGTGTACCCCGCGGGAAACAGCTGTGTGAAATACCACATAGAACAGAAATGGCAGAAGTTCATCCCAGGTAAATTAGCTTTCCCCCTTTCCCTCTCCCTTTTCTGACTCCCAAATATGCAATATAGGAAAAGAGGGGGAAAGTGCAGATCTACACCCTGGATACAGTTTCCCTTGAATATAACACTCTTACAGAGAGATAATGATTCTTCTATATTGTTGGTTGTTCTCTCCTCAGTTGCAGACTTAAATATGTGCAAGCTCATGAACTAGTAAATTTGAAAACTTTAAAACTATATTCACTTTCAAGTCCAAAGGTAGTTGGTCTGATAGAGAGTGACTGGCCTAAAGTCACCCACTGAGCTTCTGTGGGTGAGAATAGATTAGAACCTGGATCTCCAACATCCTAATTCAACACATTAATCATTATATCATACTGGCTCTCATAAGTAGCATATTGAGGTAGTGTTTCCCAAATGTTCCTATTTTACTTTATTCGTTTTTTCCAGATAAAAGATATAAAGTTTGTTTTCACTACTCTGCTCTATGATCATGAGTGCTGATGAACAAAATAGTCTCTGTCTTTTACAATATTCTCTACAGGTGTAAGTAAAATATAAGCAATATGGACTTCCAGTTTACTTTTTGCTGATTATGTAAACAGCTTGTGCAAACTTTGCCTTTCCTTTAATGTACTCATGATTGGATGTTTTTGCTTCTGTTTATCTTCTTTTTAGAGTCACATATGAATCATTGTTTACAGAAACAAGTTACGTTCTTAAACCTTAGGTTTAAATTAGCATATTTCAATAAACTACTGTAAAATTAACCACAGTTGTTCAGATCTGTATATAATATTAAAATGCGATTACAGTAGTTTAAAACTTACATGATATATTTCCAGTCTTCTTGTGAACATGCCAAGAAAGGAGAAATTGTGTGAGGCTAAGCTAATTCAACTCACTTGAGTAACATTAGTTGCAAGGCACTAAAGTTAAATCTAAATGAGGCCAATGTCTTTCATTATTGCAGTTAAATATGAGCCAAAACTAGAATTTAAGCATTTTGTGGATTCCTAATGAAATGCTTAATTGCATTATCACTTGGTGATTTATTAAAGTAGTTATTAGAAAATAAGGTGAAATTTATGTGGATAACCATAATACTGTAATTTAGTGCCATTTTGTCCCTAATCAAAATTTCACATTGCTATGTAAAACTTACAGGAATTTTGTGTTTCTGTGTGTGTACTATATAGGCTCAGAAAAAAGCCAAGGGATGCTTGCACTGGCAATAAGTCCCAATCGACGCTATCTAGCCATTTCAGAGATACTTCAGGATAAACCAGCTATCACAGTTTATGAGCTGTCATCCGTCCCATGCAAGAAGCGGAAGATTCTGAATACCTTTGATTTTGCTGTGCAGGAATTTATCAGCCTGGCTTTTTCTCCTGATTCCAAATATTTAGTGGCACAGACAGGACCTCCTGAATCACAGCTTGCCTATTGGATGTGGGAAAAACAAAGAACAATGGCAATTGTTAAAGTTGATGTTCAGAATAATCCTCTTTATCAAGTAAGTTGAAGATAAGTAACATCTTGGGCATGATTAAAGTAAGTGTCAGAAGTAGAAGGGTTAAGTTATCACTCTGGAGACTATGAAAAAAAACTGTTACTGTAGAGATGGCTTTAGTGTGCAATTGCAGTTGTGCTATTTGTATTCTATATTTGTCTTGATGCAGTACATCTACAAATCATAGAAACTTAATGGTATGCAGATTGGCAACACTTAGGACAGCTTGTTCTGCTGCTGTTGCTGCTGCCACTGCCCAAACATGGTGTTGCTTGTATGGTAGCCTCCTAATCCTAAAATTCTTGCTTGTGTTTTGGAGACATGGTTGGGAATTTAACTAGATGATCTCTAAGATCTCTTCCAACCCTTATATGATGTGATTCTGCAATTAAGATTACTCACAAATAAAATGAGACTTTTATTTGAGGTTATGGATACAAAATTATGTAGCTATAAAACAGCATAGGATAAATGTCACATCATATCCACTCACCCTCAATTCCCAATATATCAGTCTATTTTTTTCTTGAATTAACAGAGTTTGTTTATTCTGTGATGATAATATTGCCAAATCTTTGTAGTCCAGCATTTTTTATGTTGTCATCTTTTGTGATTATTTTTTTTAACTTGTCACCATTTTAGTTCTTCTTACCCCCAGACCAAGCCTTGCTACTACTAACAAGCAAGTAAGGGAATAAAATATCTCTGTAAATATACCAAGGAAAGAGGTATATTAATATGTGTCTAGGCTGCTTATCTCCCACAACATACTATCAGACCCAGAGAAAATGGATGATTATTTTTATTATCATTATTGTTATATTTAATTAAAATCCATTATTTTTATTAAAATAATTAATCAAGATATTTTAATGTATTCATTAAAATAATTAAGTGGTGGGTAATCTGTTTCCTTCATTTTTTTCAACAGTTGTACTTCTCCTATAACTTGAAGAGGATAGTGCAAAATGTTAATAATGGTGTAGCACTGTATTAAGTTATATATAGAATGACAGCTACAATTCTACTTCTAACTAAATGGAGAACAATAATTTTTAAAGATTTTAAAGACATCCTTTCCAAGAGTGTGGAAAGGATCTCAGGCCAAGAAAAAAATACCTAGAATATGATGAACAAAAAGAAGAAAAGTGTGATGATATAAAGTCATGATCAACTTGCATGAGTCAACTGAGTAAGAAGCCTTTGCCCAACCAGTCCTCAGTGATAATGGCAGGTCTGCCCATTCATCCACCACTATATAATGTATGCATTTGATCATATTACACATGGACTTGGTAACAACTAACAGCCTGAGGCCAGGATGTCCAGCAATCTGGCTTCCAGACTAGGAACTGGCCTAGAAGTGGAGGCTTGCATCAGGTTGCTGGCCTTCCTTCTCTTGTAACAGCAGCCAGCCCAACATCTTCCTTATATGATGTACAGAATTTAAAAATTCTAAATAATTGGTTTTCCTTGTATGTTTTAGGAAACAATTGGCTTCCATCATAAGTCTATAATACTTCTATTTTTTTTTTTTTAGCTTTTTTTTGGGTTTTTTATTTAGTTTTTTTTTTTTTTTT